TACTGGATGGCTTACCGACCACTCTTCCTGTTCAGCAGGATCTACGTATTGCGTAACTCTCATCGCTGAAGCCTTGCCAGTATTTGTAGAAAGTTCTTACAAGTTCACTCGTAGACGAGCCTATTGTTACAGCCGTTACGAACCTCTTCACCGGAATCATTCAATATTCGAAGGTACGTTACACGGAACACAGGATCGCGGGTGGACGAAATCCCTACGTTATGAATATGCAATCCACAGACATCTATTGAATTCGATTCAGGTCGACTGAAAAGTGTAGTATGAACAAAAAAAAGTGAGAACAACACGGAAGCAAGCAAGCATTCACCCTTTACTGCCCCAATAATCCAGAATCGAGCCAATTTGTGACCGACTTCTTCTCCTTGGACAGACTTGGCTCGAATGTTGTCTCCTAGGGCATTTTGACCTTCTAAAGAAGAATATCACATCATTTGGCCCAAAACCTCCCGACGCTGGCGCCACAGGCACCGTTAATTTAGGGTGTTTTCGTTCCGGCGGCTGTGGCGCGAGCCCCAGGAAGGGTTTCGTGCCGAGCGGATGTGATATTCATCTTCAGGAGGTCAAATTACCCCAGGAGACAAATTTTTAGCCAATTCTGCCTCACGAGAAAAAAGTCGGTCAAAACTGGCCAGATTTCGGATGATTGGGGCAGTAAAGGGTAAATAGTGCCGGAAGCAAAAAAAAACGGCAAGATAACCAGATAACCAACCGGGGCCAGTATTCAGCACATCGATCCTTAACCTTTCTCCCAATGAGCATAAAGATATATGACGCTTTTTCTTGCCAAACCATTCGCCAGAAATCGCCTGAAATTGCCATGTTGTACAATCTATGGTAGGCAGAAGTAAGAACGTACTGGAAGTGAATGATGCTTGACAAGAAATTCACCTACCAACAGTGTTCTCCATGGGGGCCTGTGTAACGATAAACTTGTTGAATAAAGGACCACCAGCAACACATAGTTTGGCATGAATTTGAAGTCGTTCTTCAAGTTATTAGGTGGATCATGCAGGCACTACTCTAGAGGAGTCGCGACATTTCACCCCTGCGTGAAATGTAATGTCCATACAGGATCAAAAAACAAAAGTCATACTTTACCCTATTTGAAAGTGACTTATAGCGAATTCCTACATTCGATCCAAATTCCTTCTAATCAAATGCTTCGTGAAGGTGAACGGAAGGATTATATACCACTTGGTTGTCCAATATTTCCAATCTATAAAAAAAGATTATTACAGGTAGTTCATCCACAGCAGTCCAGCAACTTCCTAACAAGGGAATGGTTTGAACTTCCCATGGAACTTTGAATGGAGACCTAGTACATCGATATCGAATGCTGATTACGAATATGCAGATTAAAAGTGCTACGGGGACCTCCCAGACGAGTTCTGGGCGGTCAAAGTTTGCGAAAACTCGGTTTTGGCTCGTAAGCGCTGCTGATCGGTCATTGGGCAGTGCGACCGGCATAGAGGTAACGCTCTAGCTTCAATCTCGCTTCAAAGCCAATTGCTCGTGGGTTTGCATCCCGTTGGCGCGAAAATTTTTGCTTCGTCTCCTATAAGAGCTTTCACTCTAATTTCGAAATTCTTCCGAGTTTACGGCCCAGCAGAGCAAGTAGATCAAGTATATGACGCAGTCGATCGAGTATTGATTGATCACTATCTGTCCTCTCTGAACTCATTACCCATCCGACAATTCGAAGTTTTGGCCAGAATCACAATTTGGCCAGAAACTCGTTTCTGGGGGTATTTTGACCCCCTGAGCACGGATATCACATCCGTTTGACGCGAAACCGATGATATTCATTTTCAGGGGGTCAAAATACCCCCAGAACGAGTTTCTGGACCAAAACTTCGAATTGTCGGATGGGTAATGAGTTCAGAGAGGACAGATAGCGACCAAATCCATACTCGATCGATACGTCATATACTTGATCTACTTGATCTACTTGCTCTGCTGGGCCGTAAACTCGGAGGAATTTCGAAAATTAGAGTGAAAGCTCTTATAGGAGACGAAGCAAAATTTTCGCGCCAACGGGATGCAAACCCACGAGCATTTGGCTTTGAAGCGAGACCGTTACCACTAGGCCACGGTGGCACTGCCCATGACCGATCAGCAGCGCTTACGAGCCAAAACCGAGTTTTCGCAAACTTTGACCGCCCAGAACTCGTCTGGGAGGTCCCCGTAGCACTTTTAATCTGCATATTCGTAATCAGCATTCGAGCTCTATCGATGTACCTAGGTCTCCATTCAAAGTTCCATGGGAAGTTCAAACCATTCCCTTGTAGGCTTTGCCGAATGCTGGACGAATGAGACCCGGAAGATTGGTGAGACGTCAGTCCAAGTTTCGCAGAGGTTCCAAAGCAACGCAGTTCATGTCTGTGCGAAACCGCTACCATATCTCGGCAGGGGTGAAGCAACTTCTACGGGTGGCGTCCCTCTGAGATTGACGGCTGCACCGTACTTGTAACTCATTATCGATCTCTGTATTTTTGGTATGAACTTCAAGGGATTCTTCCTGCCAAGTAATCGCGAAATGTGTCTTGAACGAGAAAACTAGAGTATAAATCAAAAATCGAAAAAGTTCGACAGTGGGCACGGTTGCCGGGGTGGGCGGTTGTCGCCGACCTCACTGGTGGACGGGCAAAGTCGGACTGTGCTCATACAGTCTCTCAGAGGTCTTCCACTAAAACAACCACCCGCCTCCAACAATCGTGCCCATTACCTTTGAACATGAGGTTACCTTCTCTCCATGCCTCCAGTGATACTACAAATGAATTTCTGTTTTTTGCTGGGCCCGAACATACGTTTACCCAATTGTATGTTATTGTAGTCTGAAAACAAACCAAGTCTGCTTACAAGGTACTTGAGCAAAGTTTATCAATCAAGATTAAAGACAGCTCCCGCGATAAAAGTCTCATGGATA